ACTAAACTTTCAGGGGGGTTTTTGAAGTTTTCCCTAATTTAATTTAGTAAGTAATAATTTCCTCTACATATTGGGCGAATCTCTCTAATTGGGTGTTTTTTTTTAATTATTTCAGAAGAAAAATAAAAAGGAATATCGCAAAATGCAACAAAATAAACTCTCGTCGTCATTACAAATTAACATTCAGGGTATTGTTCATCAACCGATCCAAACCGATTCAAACTACGGTGATTGAACCGAAAGATGATAACCATATAAACCGAAAATCGAAAAAACCCGCAAATTTTAATTGGATGGGATCGGTTTTCGGATTGGTTGATGAAAACCGATCCAATCCAATCCAATATATTAATTTCTCTCTACCTACTTGGGTTTTTTCTCAATAATATCCCAAAAATTTCTAAATGCAAGACCCATTAACCCATCAACTAAACCTAAGAAAAAATCTAGTCACATCTCATTAACAAAATTTCATTTGTGTAGAGCTTCATATCTCATTGCCAAAAAAAACTATATTATCATTTATTAATGCTTTTGTATTTCAAAAAAAAAATTACAAAGTCAATATATACAAAAGATATTGTTTGCACAATAATCATGAAATAAATTTCAAGGTGTGTGACCTCTTTTATCTTAAAAAGAATGTAAGAACTTGTTTTGAAAGTAATACTAATTGGAGAGAAGTCAGACATAGCACCTGCCTGTAAAATCCCAGAAAGAACAGAAAGCAACCTTGCATCTTTGGCCAATGTGGTATTTGGTTAAATTGTTTGCTCTTTTCATTAGGAAAGATGCAAAGGTTTATTTTGTTCAAGAATTCTTTACTTTTTTTTGCTGCAAAATTGTTTCTTCATCTTGTTTTAACTAGTTTTTTAGAAATTGATCAAATTGTTAGGGAAACCAGGCAGGGTCAAGGACCTTGAAACCTTGTAGTGATGAGAAAAAAGAAAGGAGATCTAATTTTGAGAACTCTGAGGATGAAAGGAGGTCAAGAACAAGAATCGAATCTCTCAAGAAGAAAGCACTCAGGGCTTCGCCCAAATTCAAGCATTCTCTAAAGAAAAACCGAGGCCGGAGAAAGAGTGATGGGCGTGTTAGCTCAGTTTCCATTGAGGATGTTGAGGAGCTGCAAGCTGTTGATGCGTTTAGGCAATAGTTGATTACGGAAAAAACATGATGATTTCCATATGATATTAAGGTGACCTTAACATCGTGCTTTCTTCTTGAAAGAAGAAGATTCTTGACCTCCTTTCATCTTCAGAGTTCTCAAAATTAGATCTCCTTTCTTTTTTCTCATCACTACCGGAGAACCCCTCAAAACCTGGCAAAATCAAAACATTTTTACAAAAAGTAAACCACCAAAACAAAAAATAGAGAAAAATAGAGAAATGTTTCAAGGTCCTTGAAACTGCCTGGTTTCCCTAACAATTTGATCCAACTTCTAAAAAAACTAGTTAAAACAAGATGAAGAAACAATTTTGCAGCAAAAAAAAAGGTAAAGAATCCTTTAACAAACAAAACCATGCATCTTTCCTAATGAAAAAGACCAAACAATTTAACCAAAAACCACATTTTGGAGGGGAGCAAGCCAGGGTTAAGAATTAAACCCCCACACTTGGCAAGTTGTAAAGGTTAGGTTTGCTGAATTCTCTTGATCTAAAGTCTCAGAACCCGCAAAGTTCGCATCTTTCTTTCCCTCATTCAGAAGAAACCTTAGGCTGAGATGAACGAAACAATAAAATGCACAAAAACGAACAAAACACATAAAAAGAAAGAGAAAAGAAACTGACAGGGTCTTGCAAAACGATCAAGTGGACCGGACATTGTGCTATAACATGCAACGATGATTAATGTCGCAGCGAAGCCACATTCACCACTCAGAAAAACCCTAAGAATTCAGCGGAGAAGAGAAGAGAAGAGAAGAGACTCGTTTGTGTAGCCGTCGGAGCTGAATTAAGAAGAGAATGTTCGCGAATCACGAGAAGAATGTCCATCGATATTTATACTCCAATCCAACACTGCACTCTCTCTCTCTCTCTCTTCTCTCTCTGTCTGCTATTAATTCTGATTAAATCATAGCATAATCAATTAATCGTAATAATTGATGAAATTAATTCTGATTAAATATAATTTGGCATAATAATCGCCGGTCAGAGTCAGAGACCGCTAGAAAGAAAGAGATAGAATAACTGACACGTGGCGGTGGAGAAAACAGAAAGAAAACGAAATGAAGCCAAGCATGTAGGTAGGTTTTTTTTTTTTTTTTTCAAAAAGAGTTAAACTAAAAAAAAAGAAAGAAAAAGAAGAAAAGGAAAAAGAATAAGGGAAAAGCGTCCCAATGATTAGGTCAGATATATGGCCTGCGTAGTGACAAGTCACTATTCCCCTACTCTATTCTTTTTGTCTGAAATATTTTATATTGTCCCGGATCATCGAATTTTTTTAGTGCTCCTTCTCATAATATCAATTTTTTTTTTTTTTTTTTACCCCTGCTATTTTCTCTCTCTTTTTAAATTTTACTTTTCTATTTACACTAAAAGATCACCTAAAAAATGGTGGTCTTGGTACATATTAAATGCTCTCCTTCTTGTCGTCTTGACCATTCTGTAACAAAACTATTGGCTTCGTCAATAAGAGTAGTGTTGCATTTGTCGTGACACATTAATTCTCTAGCGGAAAAAATATTTCTGTATTTCATGCAGATAAGTTATCTATATTTATTCTCAAAATGACATTGTTTTGATATTGAAATCTTAAAAAATTATAAATATAAAGACTATTATAACCATGAAATAAATTAAAATTACAAAAATACTATGATTTTTGCTCAAAACAACATCGTATTGGAATTAGTTATCTGCAGTAACTGCAAAAAAAATGAATACACTCTTCTTAATATATTATTTATGGGTTCGCTTTTTCTGCAGTTATTGCAGATAAGTTATCTGCAGTAAGTCCAATATGACGTCGTTTGAGGCGGAAATCATGATATTTTTGTAATTTTAATTTATTTCAGGTTATAATAGTCTTTATATTTATAATTTTTTAAGATTTCAATATCAAAACGACGTCGTTTTGGAAATAAATGCAGATAACTTATCTGCATTAACTGCAGAAATATTTTTTCCATTATTTATTGCTACATCATGTTTTATTGAATCTTTTTGGTCTTTACGAAATTTATTCAGTTACAGAAAATATATTATTTGTATTTTTTGTTTTGTTTTTTTTTTAAGACTTAATAGCACTTTTAGTTTCTTTATATTAATTAATTTGTTTTTATTTTATTTTTTAACAATTAATTTCTGAATTTTCAATTAAAAAAAAACTATGTTGCTACTTCCTTCGTTTGTTTGTTGCGCAATTATTAACTTAAGTTAATGGTGTTTTGCCATGTGTCACTCCCTCCTTGCATCTCAGATTTCTATTCATACCACTACCCACTTAAAAACTTTCCTTCTTTGGCAAATTCGAATTATTAAATATTTTAAACATTTTAAAATACGAAAAAAATGGAAAATTAAGTTTTTGTTCAATTAAGTTGTAGTGGCAACAACTCATTAATGTATATCTGACTGCTCTTTTAATTTTCAAATTTGAATTTGAATTTAAAATTTGAAATTTGATTTTTTAATTCTAAATGGTGACAGGCAACTAATTTAAATCTATGGCATCGAAATCTGGATTTTTATTAACCTGATTCAGTGGAATTCAAAAAAATTCTTTTGTTTTCCAAAAAAAATAACAAATTTCGTACTAATCAACAAAATCTCACCCTACAAATTTCGTACTTATTTTTAAAATTTAAGTTTGGATTTTTTTTTAACCTTGATTCACTATAATTCAAAAATTTACAATTTTTGAAAAATTAAAAATATTTTCTAATTACTCGAAATAACTCAACCTACAGTTTAAATGTATAAAAATAATAAATTTGATTAAAATATTTGTTCCTCATTTTTACAGTTTAAAATTTGAATTTTTATTAACCTTGACTAAGTGGAATTCAACAAATTTCTGTTTTTTTCCATAAAAAACACAATTTTAAATACTAAAAACATCCAACCCTACAATTTAAATTCAAGTCTAAAAAAAAAAATGGAATTCAAACTTTCGGTTCTGATTTTTTAAAATTTAAAATTTGATTTTTTACTAACACCCTTTTTTATATTCCCTAAACCCTTTTCCTTCTCTACATTTTCAACAAACATTTTAAGTGGTAGTCAAAAACTTACTTTTGTTTTCCAAAAAAAAATATTTCCTACTAATCAACAAAATCCCAACCTACAAATGTCGCACTTATTTTTAAAATTTAAAGTATGGATTTTTTTTTAACCTTGATTCAGTGTAATTCAAAAATTTACAACTTTTGAAAAATAAAAATATTTTCTAAATACTCGAAAGAACCCAATCTACTGTTTGAATGTATAAAAATAATAAATTTGATTAGAACATTTGATCCTTATTTTTGCAGTTTAAAATTTGAATTTTTATTAACCTTGATTAAGTGGAATTAAACAAATTTCTGTTTTTTTCCATAAAAATCACAATTATAACTACTAAAAACATCCAAAACTACATTTAAATTTAAATCTAAAAAAAGAAAATAAATGGAATTCAAACTTTGGCAAGTTTGCTGACGTGTCGAATGGTGACAAGCAACTCATTTAATGCTGACAGGAAACTCATTTAATGTTAAATAATTAAAAAAATACATCTGCTTTGTTTTCTATACCAACGCTTCATTACGTTTCTGTTCGTTCTTCTTATTTTTCCTTTTTTGTTGTTGCTGCTGCCAAATATCTGCTGATACACGCATTGCTTCCTCAACATCTGTTCTTGCTTCTCTCTTTTTTCGTCTTACAAAAAACATGTTTTCAAAATATAATTTTTTGAAGGATGTCAATCCTGCCAAATAGGACTGGAGGATTAATGTGAAGGTGTTTCGTGCTTGGAAAGTTCCTAATTTTCAACATAGAGATTTTGACGACAATGTTGAAATGGTTTTATTGGATGAACAGGTAGTTGTATGCGTTTTTAAAATCTTCCATCTTTGCATATTTTAAATCTTCCATCTCTATGCAAGTTCCATTTTAATTAACGTTATTGATGTGAGTTGGTTGCGTTCTTTTGTAGGGTGGTAGGATCCACGCCACTGTCAAAGGTTCTTTGCCGGTGCAAAAGAAAATCCATGAAGGAGAGTGTTATTTTATAAAAAGATTTGGAGTTGTATTCGCGATGTGTTCAGGCCAACCAAGTATCAGTATCGTTTGTCTTTCAACTTGAGGACTGATGTTAAATCAATTGTTGATTCTGATATTTCTTCAAGTAAATTTGATTTTGTTGATTATGACATCGTTGAGAAAGAAACGTCAGACTCTCCTTATTTAGTCGGTAATGTATTTTTCCTTACTGTTATCCAATTTCTAATTATTGCATTTTTTTCACCAACTGTTTGCTGCCCTCTTTTTTTGTAGACGTCATTGGTTTAATCTCAGGAATTGGGGAAGTTTGTGATCGTGTGGTTTCTGGTAGGAAGACAAAAATGGTAGTGTTGGAGCTTGACAGCCTGAGGTATTTAAATTTTTTTAGCTAAATACATTAATTTTGTCAAGTTCTGTTAGCTTATATTTTTTGTGTATTAACGTTGTGCTTGCTGCAACTCATGTGTAGGGGTCACAAGCTGGAGTGCACTTTGTGGGAGCAATATGCGGATGAGGTGCAGTCTTTTTTGGCAAATAGTGACACTCATCATAACGTCCTGATAGTCCAACTGGGAAGGATAAAATGTTTTAGGGGTATGTTTTTTCCAAACGAAATGTTATTTTACATTTTTTTGTCTTCTGTATTCTATTTTTGTTCATTTTATTTTAAATATTTTTGGCTTCTGTATTATGTTTTTGTTCACGTTATTTTAAATTTTTTTGGCTTCTTTATTCGGTTTTTATCTGATATTTTCAACTCGATAGGTAAGGTCGGGATAACAAATACAAAATATACAACAAGGATTGTCATGGATTCGAAGGTGCCAGAGATCGTTGAGTTCAAAAAATGGTGTGTTCATTTTTCTTGAACTCATGTGGCAATTTATTCGGTTATTCATTGATGGAATTATGAATTTTTGCTTTATAGTCTTTCGGCTGATGGTGTGGAAAGCAGTTTGAGGATGACTCAGTTGTCTACTCAGTCCTCCTATTCTTTCGAAAAGGATTTTCTTAGGGAGACTGAAAAGAAGTCTATCAGAGATGTTAAGCTTTGTGGTGAGGTAAATATCGATTTTTTATTTTTTGCTTATCTTGAATTATGTCAAGTCTGTATCGATTTTTTAAGCTTTGATGGTTTATATTTAAGGTTATGACATGCATCACGTACGGGACTATAAAAGCTATTGAGAGCAAATACAACTGGTGGTACAAGTCTTGCAAAAAATGTCCATTTTTCGTTTGTGAGGATTTTGAAAAGTGATACTGTAAGAACTGCCAAAAACATTGGGAAGATTATTATCCGAGGTAATATATTGTTCTTCGTTTATAATTCGTCTTTAATCTGTGTCATTAATATTTGTTGCTGATATACAATTTCGAAAAAAATTCCAGATTTAGTGTTCAGGTCAGAGTTGTGGATAACACATATTTCGCGTCATTTCTTCTGTTTGATCGCGACTGTATGTCTTTGTTGGGAATGAGTGTTGGTGAAGTGCGCGAGCTGCATTTCAAGAGGGTTTGTATTATCATTGCTGTGTAATAGCGAACATGTATTTTTTGTCGCTATGTGCACTCTGTTTGCGCTGTATTTATTTATTTTTATTTTTCAATTTATTTTTTTTCCTTTTCCTTTTTTTTTTAGGGTGCAGATTTGGATCAATTTCCAGAAGAGTTAAATGTTCTGAATGAGAAGTCAATGTTGTTCAAGATAAATGTGAAGCAAAAGGATTTGAACTCATACAGTGAGCCCAAATATCAAGTTTCTAAAATTTGTATGAGCGAAGACGTGATCTCAGCGTTCATTAAGTCTCTTATAGATCCAAATGTATGCTTCTTATATATTTCTGTTGGATATCCATTTTTCTTATTCATTTTGTTGACTGTTGTTGGTTGTTGTATATCACAGGATGAAGCAAATTTCGATAATGCTCGCGAAAATGAAGTTGTATCGTCGGAACCAGAAAAGGCTGCGGTAACCCATTATTTGGATTTAGATTTATGTTACGAAAAAAAATAACAAAAATACTTGACGTAACTTTTTTTTATTATGAAAAAAAATAAGATGTTGAGAGTCAGACTTGTGATAGTGCTGACATTGGTGATATCTCTCTGACGATGTTGACACCTGTGATCAATTCTCATGATTCCATTGCTGGAGAATTTAAATTTTCAGCTGTTCAGACGGCGAAGAGAATAAAGCTTGAAAAAGAGTTACGTATTTTTATAATTTTTATTTTTATTTCAGCGGTATATATATATTTCTTCTTTTATTAATATAATATGCAAACCATGTCATTTGCTTACGCAAAGTCAAAACACTGATATTTGAATTTTTTATTTCTTTTTTTTAATAGATTTGATGCAGAAGCAGATGAGAATACCCCGTAGATTGGGCTACTGTGACTGAAGAGTGTTGTTTTGTGTCTTCGGACAGGATGTTTATTACAACAGAATGTTCAATTGCCGTTTTTTGCTGGAGTTACATTTTTAAATGTTGACATCGTTTTTTTTTAACTGAAATTTATTAAATATTATGTGATGTTGAATTTGCTGTTAAATTTTATATTGCTTATCTATAGCATCGAAATCTGGATTTTTATTAACCTGTTTCAATGGAATTCAAAAAAATTCTTTTGTTTTCCAAAAAAAATAACAAATTTCGTACTAATAAACAAAATCACAACCTACAAATTTCGTACTTATTTTTAAAATTTAAAGTTTGGATTTTTTTAACCTTCATTCACTGTAATTCAAAAATTTACAATTTTTAAAAAATTAAAAATATTTTGTAATTACTCAAAATAACCCAACCTACGGTTTGAATGTATAAAAACAATAAATTTGATAAAATATCTGTTCCTAATTTTTTCAGTTTAAAATTTGAGTTTTTATTAACCTTGATTAAGTGGAATTCAACAAATTTTATTTTTTCCATAAAAAACGCAATTTTAAATACTAAAAACATCCAACCCTACAATTTAAATTCAAATCTAAAAAAAGAAAATAAATGGAATTCAAACTTTCTCTTCTGATTTTTTGAAATTTAAAATATTTTCTAATTACTCGAAATAACCCAACCTACGGTTTGAATGTATAAAAATAATAAATTTGATAAAATATTTGTTCCTTATTTTTGCAGTTTAAAATTTGAATTTTTATTAACCTTGATTAAGTGGAATTCAACAAATTTCTATTTTTTTCCATAAAAATTGCAATTGTAACTACTAAAAACATCCAAACCTACAATTTAAATATAAATCTAAAAAAAAGAAAATAAATACAATTCAAACTTTGGCAAGTTTGCTGACGTGTCGCTTTCTCCGTCACTTTCAGCTTTGTGTTCACATTACAGAATTTTAAAAACCTTTCCTTCTTTGGTAAATCAGTGAATAAAATAAAATAAATATAAAAAAAATCAATTTTTTAAGATTAATTCGATGGACAAGATTTTTTGATTTAAATCAATGGTCAAGATTTGTTGTAAAAGTTGGTGGCAGACAGCTCATTAATGTATATCTGACTGCTCTTTTAATTTCCAAATTTCAATTTAAATTTTAACTTGAAATTTTAAATTTGATTTTTGAATTCATAATGGTGACAGAGAACTCATTTAAATCTATGGCATCGAAATCTGGATTTTTATTAACCTGATTCATTGGTATTCAAAAGAGGTGGCAAACTAGCCTCGGCCCGGAGGGCCAGCCCACCAACATATTTTTAAAATTAAATTAAAATTTCATTCTTCTTTTTTATAATTAAATTCATAAATCTGATTTTAATTTTTGTAAATACAAATTTATAAAATTCCAAATACTAACGACACAAATCTTTGCAAAAAATAATTGTTTATTATTTTTTTTAAATGTGATTGTAATAAATAAAAGTTCATATTTTAGATAAAATATAAAAACCTAAATGCGACTATAAGAACCTTATTTTGTGGATAAATATACAAATCTATTACATGTTGATAGTTAGATGTGGCAAACTGGGGCTCAGCTCGCAGGGCCGGCCACCAACATATTTTTATAATTAAATTAGAATTTCATCATTCTTCTTTTACAATTAAATTCCTAAATCTGATTTTAATTTTTGTAAATACAAATTTGTAAAATTTCAAATGCAAACGACACAAATCGTTGCAAAAAATAATAATTTATTAATATTTTGTAAATCTGTTGTAATAAATGAAAGTCCATCTCAGAAATAAAATATAAAAATCTAAATGCAACTATAAGAACATTTTTTTGTGGATAAATATAAAAACCTATTACATGTTGATAGTTAGAGACTTATTCTTAAAATTTCTATAATTAAATTAAAATTTCATACGTATTCTCTTATAATTAAATTCCTAAATCTGATTTCAATTTTTATAAATTCAAATTTGTAAAATTCAAAATACTAAGGACCGAAATCATTGCAAAAAAATAATTATTTATTATTATTTTATAAATCTGATTGTAATAAATGAATGTCCATCTCTGAGATAAAATATAAAAATTTAGATGCAACTATAAGAATTTTTTTTATGTGGATAAATATAAAAATGTATTACATGCTGTCATAATGCTGACAATTAGAGGTTGCAAACTGGACTCGGTCCGGAGAACTGGCCCGCCAACATTTTTTTATAATTAAATTAAAATTTCGCCCTTTTTCTTTTATAATTAAATTCCTAATTCTGATTTTAATTTTTGTAAATACGAATTTGAAAAATTCCAAATACTAACGACACAAATCTTTGCAAAAAAATATTTAAGTATTATTATTTTGTAAATTTGATCTTTCTAAATGAAAGTTCATCTCTGGAAAATACTGAAAGAAGATGAGTAAAACTTTGTAATTTTTAAATGACTACAGACAAGGTAAAATGCAGCAATATACTTTTATGTGTTGCGTTAAGAGTGAATCGCAGAATGGGTTTTATAACTTTTGCAAGTATACATTACACATCTTTCTTATTACCTTGATGTCAAGCACAACATTTCATTTTTTTATTACAAATACAGTATATTAAGTTGCAAATCACTTGGATATTTTGAATTTTAATTAAGTCTTTATAAATTAATCTTTTTTATTTTATCATCATCGCGTTAATAATGCATGTTTTGTTACCTGCATAAGTTAGTATGTTTTATAGTGCAGCTTAACATCGTTATTTAATTTGAGACTGAAGAAAGATATATCTTTTTTGTTTATTCCTACATCATGCTCTTATATTTTAACAAAAAATATTATTCATAATATTTATTTTTAATTTACGGAAACTTTTACCAGACAAACAAATCGATTTTTTTCCCCTGTGCATCGGCACGGGTAATAAACTAGTTAATATCATAAATGACGTGACTTTAATATATATATATATATATATATATATATATATATATGTATATATTGTTATTATATTAATAATTATGTCTGCAGACATAAGAAATTAATTTTTGTTTTTTTTTATTTGACAAAGAAAAAACTATTTTAAAGAAGTTCTTTTTTTCTTTATAAACAAAAGGCCTAAGCCCAACCCAACAGAAAAAACAAAGAAAAGAAACTAAAGACTACACACCATATCGCGTGGTCTACTAACAAAAGCCAAATCAGCCATCAATAGAAGCCTAATACCAGGAGGAGGCTCCCACCAGATTCTTTTAGAAATCTGCTCACGATCATCTAAAATGGAATTAGCCAACCAATCCGCACAAGAATTCCCCTCCCTGTAAGTATGCTGAAAAGACACTGCCCAATTTCTTTGTACCCATATCCGTATACGAGATATCAGAAGACACTGACGGATTGCTACACCATTTTTGGTTAGCAGAGTGATTACAGAAGAAGAATCACTTTCAATGATCACATTACGGTAGCCAACACTCCAAGCCATCTCTAAACCCTTAAGCACACCCCACAACTCAGCTTTGAAAGAGGTACAAAACCCCAGCCTATAGGCAAAACCACCCAGCCACTTACCATTAGCATCTCTCATAACACCACCACAGGCTGCAATACCAAGATTACCACGAGCAGCCCCATCAGTGTTTACCTTAATTATACCAGGAGAAGGAAACTGCCAGGAAATATCAATGGTCATTGTTCTTTTCTTAGCAAACCTATTTGAATGATTACAACCCGCATTGTTTATATCATCAACCAAATTCCGAATCATTCTTACTCTATCAAAAATCGAGAGCAGACTAGAACCATGGTAAACTTCATTTTGCCAGGCCCATACCTTCCAGCAAGTGACAAAGAAATAAGACAACCAAGAATCAGCCACATTACCTGCCAACCTCAACTTGAAGTTAAACTCTAACCAGCTATCCAAGTCACCAAGAAAGAAATCCTGCATACGATCATGAGGCACCAAACAAGACCATATGCTCTTCACCTGCTAACAGTCCCGAATGATGTGAAGCACTATCTCACTTTCTAAACCACAAAGAGGGCACAAATCATCCCCATTACCCCAACTAGCAATTTTAGCTTTAGTTAGAAGCCTCCCATGCATTACCTTCCACATAAACACTTTAATCTTTTGAGGACCAAACCACTTCCACCAACTGGACCAATTGAATCTGCTAAGACCATCAGAAATGGACTGATTAGTTAAGGAACAGTAGTTAGCCTTGACAGACACGTCACCTTCACTAACCAGATTCCAAACTCTCCTATCAGGACCATCTGCAGCATTAGGAGCAAGAGTTCCAAGCAATACATTAATGATATTACTAGGAAACCATTGCTTAAGAAACAACCAATCCCACTCCCCATCAGCAGTAACCACATCTGCCACATTAGCATCAAGTCTCATACTAGGATCTTTTCTAACAGTACACTCAATTAAAGATTGGTTTGGGATATGCCATTTATCCATCCAAAAGTTAATTTTAGTACCATAACCTAAATCGTAGATTAAATTCTCCTCCATAACCTTCCAAACTCTACACAAATTCTTCCATAACACCGAATTTGAATTTAAAGCCTTAAATAAACCAGACCTTCGGGAATTAGCTGCATATTTAGCATGTAAAACTTTGATCCAAAGTTGATTTGATGCTGATGTAAACATCCACGCCCTTTTTGCAAGGAAAGTATCATTCATTACCTCTAACCGTTTCAAACCCAAACCTCCATCCTTTTTAGGCTTCGTTATGATCTTCCAATTTATCAAGTGATGTCTCCTACTATTCTCCTTGTCTCCCTAAACAAAATCCCTCTGTAATTTTTCTAACTGCATGCAAATAGAAGAAGGGATCTTAGTGCTTTGCATTTGAAATTAAGGCATGGCAGCCAAAACAGAATTTGTCAATGTAATGTGACCAGCTTGGGATAAAGTTTGCTGATTCCAAACATTTAGCTTACTTTTGACTTTTTCTACAATCCCCTCATAGATATTCTTAGAAGCCCTGCCATGTCTCATCATTGACCCAAGATAGCGGCCAATATTTTTAACATGCTTAAAACCACTTCTCTGAGTAATATTAGCAATAACCTCAACATCTGCATTTTTGGAAAAATAGATACTGGTCTTCTCCACACTAAGACTAAGACCCGAAGCTTCTTCAAAAAGAGAGGCATTTGTTAAGGACCTCAAATTGATCAACACTAGCTTCCATAAAAACCATAAGATCATCAGCAAAAGCAAGATGTGTAATTTGAGGACCACCCTTACCAACGCAGATAGGCTTCCACATTCCACCATTCAAAGCAGTCAAGAAGATATGAGTTAATTTCTCCATAGCAAGAACAAACAAATAGGGAGAAAGGGGATCACCCTGTCTAATACCCCTAGAAGGAATAAAATCACTAGTCTTGCCTCTATTCCACAACAATTGATTTTAGAAGACTCCACACTGCTCATGGTCAGATTAACAAAATGATTAGGAAAAGAAATCTCGTGTAAAACACTTCTCGGAAAATTCCACGAAAGCTTATCATAAGCCTTGATCAAATCAATTTTAATGGCCATAAAAGCTTTCTTACCCTTCATCTTATGCATTGAATGAACCAATTCCTGAACAATAATTATGTTATCCTGAATTTGTCTATTAGGAACAAAACTCACCTGAAATGGAGAGACTAAGTTTTCCATCAACGGCTTCAATCTCTGCACAAGAATTTTGGACAAAAGCTTATACAAGACTGAACAAAGGGAAATAGGTCTAAATAGAGAAATAAAATCAGGATTCTTCACTTTTAGGATCAAAACCAAAAGAGTAGAATTGATCTCTGCAACCAAAGAAGGATTGGACCAAATTTTCCTAACTGTTTCAACAATTTGACAATTCACAAACTTCCATTGTCTTTGAAAGAAAATAGTAGGGAAACCATCCACACCAGGAGCTTTAAAAGCTCCCATAGATTGCAACGTAATAGAAATCTCATCACTAGTAGGTACCTCTCACGAGATTCAGATGCAACAGGCGCCCAGAAGCTAGGAGAAGATAACCACCTACGAGAAGTGGATTCCTCAGTAAACAAGTTCCTGTAAAAATTACAGACATGGTCTTTAAGCTCCTTAGGCTCCTCAATCCACTGGTTAGTATCCTTTTTAAGCCTTGAAATTTTATTGGAGCTCCTTCTCACTATAATTCTCAAGTGATAGTATCTAGCATTTTTATCAGCATCCACAATCCAATTATGTCTTGACTTTTGATACCAAAGCATCTCCTCTTCATCCAAAACCTGATTAAACTCCTTCTGCAAATACTTCTCAGTATCTTGTAATCTCATACAGTCTGAGCTAATCCTTTGAAATTGGACCTTCTCAATCTGCTGCATTATGAACTTTTTCCTCTGATGTATATAGCCATAGACATGATTATTCCAATGTTGAAGCTTAGGAACAAATCGGCACATCATTGACTTTATCTCTGATCTACGGTCCCAATTCCCAACCATAAGCTCTTCAAAATTAGGATGATCCATTCAAGAAGCAAGAAACCGAAAAGGTCTCTCTTGCCAAGAATTATTTCTTTTTGAAATATTCAATAAAAGAGGATTATGATCAGAATGCACTCTAGGGAGAATTCTAACCTCAGAATTTTGAAAAGCTGTTCTCCAAGCAAGATTGACGCAAACTCTATCAAGTTTTTTATAAACTCTATCCAGGTGATTCCATTTTGGACCTTGCCATGTGAACTTAGGACCAAAGCAACGAAGCTCATCAACCAGACAACTATCTAAGAACTCAAAAAATCTGCCACACTTAGCTCTATCAACTTGAGATCCACCCTTTTTCTCACTAGCATCTTTGATACCATTAAAGTCACCAGCAACAACCCAAGGAGTACTCATATTCTGACTGAACTGATAAACATCATTCCACATCTCATGACGCTCCTCTTCTCTAGGGCTAGCATACATAGTTGTACAAACAAATTTAATATGGTCACCGATATAAACCATCAAATGGAGAAATTGCTTAGATTGAGGAATAATATGGACTGAAGATTTATTAGAATCCCACATAGCCCAAATAGCTCATGAGAATCCAACAGCTTCTTCAAAAATAGCTTGATTAAATTTCAACTTCTTCATCAACTTCTTACTGTTAACACTACTGGAACGGGTTTCCATTAACACAACCATACAAATACCATGATTATCAACTAACATTTTTAAGGTACGACCAAGGTTAGGCTTAGCAGCACCTCTACAATTCCAAAAAAGAACAGACATTAATCAAAACGTTGGGAAGTTGCAGGAATACCTTACACCTGCGACATACGTGTTGTTGTATTTTTTCCAACACCACGAGAGCTCACAATACCTTTGGACTTAATAGAAACACTTCTCAAAAGACTCAACTTCGGGTCAGGAGGCTTAGGATTTTTATTTTTCCTTCTACCCTCCTGCCTAGTCTCAACTTTACTATCATGCACCACCAAAACCGGCTGTGAATCATAATCAATCATTACATTCTCAGCCACCTTCCAATCTGAACCAATTGAACCTTGAGAAGCTTGCCCATCTAATTTTGCTTTGGCAACAGACTGAATTCTTTTCAAAATTGTTGTTTCATCATGTGTATTCATATCTTCATAGACCTCATCGTTTAGAATATTATCCCACACTAATTTAAAGGCATTCTCCATCTCAATCAATTTGAGCGTATCATGAGACGCTTTCCTCTTCTCCTTTTTTCCATCTAAAGACACATCATGGCTCCCCACGATAAGATCTCCTTCATTCTTGTCTTTTTTCTGACTAGTAATAACAGCAGTGGACTTACCTTCCTTTATACCAGTACCCAATTCAGCCTTATCTGATTTAAAACTGATATCAATTTGCTTCTGTAACACATCATTCTTCTTCTACAGTACATCATTCTTCTTCCCTTGATAATTGTTCCTCCTCTTCTCACGAGAAACCACCATCCAAGGACCAAACCCCTCCTGCTTATCCTCCTTTTGAACAATATTGATTTGATCATTAACCAAGACAATTTCTCTACAAAGATTAACCTCCGTAGCATCCTTACCAACATGGTTTGAACTCCTATTGGTGCAATTCTCTGACCTATGCCCAAACTTTCCACAAGTATAGCAAATAAGATGCAGTCCTTCATATTCCACTTTTTTGTAGCGACCCTTGATGCTCACCGGAAAGTATACCGATCGCACAAGTAATATAATGACAAGTCAAGTATCGTCTCCACAGGGATTGTGATCGTATATCAAATAATCGTTCCTTTTAAGATTGAAGGGTTCAAATAATTGTGACGAAATGTTTTGGCTTTGAGTAACAATAAGAACTAAAAGTAAGAACTTGTTTTTGGCTTTTTGTTTATGAGAAATAAAATAGAAATTGATTTTGTAAAATGAGAAAGCATTGTAGCTAGAGTACACTCACTGAATGATTCTCACTTCTTACTTTGAATTGATTTTCAATATTCATTTATATAATTACTCAGATAAATTATTATCTAAAAGTATTAATAGTTAACCCTCAATTCCTTGCAAGGTTAACCCTTTAATCCCAATTGAAACCCTAATTCCTTGCAATGTTTCTCATGGCATTAAGCAATGAACTCAATAATTTTAGCATCTGCAATTAAATATACATCTATTCCTAGCATGCATACCAATTGTTATCCTACCCCCTTTCAAGATCAAAATCCCAATATTCTTATCTAGGGTTATAACTATTAGATTGATCAGTTCTAATAAAGAAAATATAAAATACGCACAGGGTAGAGATAAAGACAATTATATAAACGAATAATCATAAACCAATCCGTCGTAACAAGGGTTCACATAGGGTTTGTGACCCTAACTACAATAAAAAGAACTTAGCCAATCATTATCATGACTAAAAATTCAATATTCAACATACTTGATAAATGAAAAGAGGAAGAATGGAAGAAGAAATAGATCCTTCAGAACTCTCTTTGAGTACAACCATCGTCTCTGGTCTTCGGAATCGGATTCGATTAATTCTGTAAAAGGCATCCTATTTATACGCCTCTTTTCTTTCTTCCAAAAATGCCCTTGGACAACACGGCGTAATTTTCCCGTGAACCTGCGCAAGTTGGCGCCGGTCGGCGCCGCGCTTCTGCCTGAAGTGTAAAAGTCGGAACTGTCTTCTCGCAAACCGGCGCCAGTCGACGCGGTGCTTCTGCCCAAAATTGCAATTCTTCAAAAATCGGCGCCAGTTGGCGCCACTTGCAAAACACCGGTGTGGACTTCGAAGACTGGCGCCGCTAGGCGCCGTGCCACTGCCAAAATTGCGTTTCTCCATAATCTGGCGCCGGTGTGGCGCCATTTCGCGCCATGTTGCTAGAATTTTTACTGTGCTACACCCGTGTGGAGTCGCGTCAACAGGCTTTTTATAATTTTGTAATTTTCACTTCTTTTACCTGTTTAAGCACAACCAATAGGTGAGAAATATCATTGACATAGAAAGAATCAATATAATAAGCAAATATGTATTTAAATTGCTCTTTTATGACTCAATTCTTATCAATTTTAACTTAGAAAACTACATCTGCCAGAGGCATATCAAATCATTCCCAGATTTAAACGTTGTTGTCCCCAGCAATGTACAAGACTCAATCCAAGACATATTCAATTAATCCAACATAACAATCCATAGACACTCTTAGACACAATATTCCATGCATGACTGACCCAATATCATAAACTCCCAACAATGTTATCAGCTTATTAAAGATACAAGTCTACATTGATTACCCCTTACACAGATAAATAATGTCCACTCCACACTCAATGTTTAAGGGTATCATGATCACTCAATTAATCACAGCTATAACACTACCATGGGCTTGATCATATTCTCAAAATTCTTAAAAATGAAGAATCAAACACATGCATCAATTGATCAAAAGGACTTCACAGGTTGTAACTTGGCCGGGTTAAAGGGTAGGAATATATGGATAGTAGCTCAAACAACAATGAGATTGAAAAACTGATATTATTTCACTTTAACACGTTCAACTCAATGGTTTTTCTCCACTAACATTCCTATAGAATTTCGGAAATTAATTTATTTCAACTACCTTTTATGCACATTCATTCTTTTCCCTTTTTTTTTTTTGCTTTTTCCTTTTTTTCTCCCTTTGTTTTAAGGGCACAAACTTGACCTTTGTGGAGCTTACCTCAATTTCTTTTTTTATTTTCAACACATTAGTAATTCAATCTCAATCAAGTTAAGTCACATAAATATAGGCTAAGCCATCAATCAGGCCACAGGTCATTTATTAACAAATTAAGTTCAGGCTCAAGGGGCTAGCAATGGAAAAATTCATACATGTGGGTTATTTTGGCCATGAGCTAACAAGAACAAAATGCCTTTATCACTTCAATCAATGCATGCATTACAGAGAAACAGATCAAGTTCTAGAGTGTTACAACAGTGAGGTCTCTCAACAAGAAAATTCAGTTTTTAAGCTCAAACCTCACAGCTATGGTATCAGTATAGACTCAAAAAAATTGACCTCAGACATTATCAGAATTTCACAACATCAGTTCAGACAAACGAGCAATCATGCAATCCAATTATACCTATGCAATGTTATGCCAGAAAGTCATACAATATACTTCCAAGAATTTAGTCAAGCACATTAACTGGATAAGCACATTTAAACCTGAGAATTGCTTGAAAAACATATCAATATATTTTTTATTTAATAAAGAGCAACACAAAATAACTAACTAAAATAAATAAGAAAAATTAAAAGAGTTTAGAATATCTCCCTTGATAAAAGAACCGCAGTTCCAAAATGCTTTCCTAAAGCCTACCATTCCTAGATTTAAAGAATTGATGTCCCCAGCAATAATCAAACCAAAAGATGGATGATAAACCTGCACCTTGGAACAAACTGTGGCATATAGGATAAACTATAATGCGCACAATAAAGCATCAGAATGTTTGGGAAATATACCAACTTAAAATAGCAAAGTACTAAAAAGAAAAATAAACTAATATACACTAAATCTCTGTCAGCAAGGAGATTTAATCAATCCTCCATGTCATCTCCCTCAGCAGCATGGGATGACTCAGCAAATGGAGGATCTGGTGGTTCTAGATGCATAAGTGCATGAGACCACCATTCCCAGATTTGATTCCAACCGTGAATCCATGTGAGGAACTCTTTGAAGTATTGTTTCCTCTGAGAGACAGAGTCTCGGTGCCTCTTCTCACAGATTCTCCTTTTGGAAGCCTTCATCCTCCGGTGATCCGCACACATCTTTCAACTAGTATCAAAGAGTTTCACCACTTCCTTTCTCATTGCCTTCTTTCTTGTAGGATTACGCCTCCTTTGAGGCTTCCTCACATATTTGACATCATCCTCCATGAGACTTTTGTGGGTACAAAAAAAAGCACTTATATGTTTAATATCAGAAATGGACCACCCCAACACAGTCTTGTGCTCCTTCAATACTTCAATCACCGCCTCCTTATTACCCATGAAGGTATATTTCAGAGTTTCAGGAAGCTCCTTCAACTCTATTTTTGGGGCACCATCTTCTTTGTCAGAATCATTCTTTTCCTCAAGAACTTCAAATGCTACATCCTTCCTTCCTTAACAGGAACACTCTCTTGCGCCTCAAGATCTTCATCAATCTTTTGACTAGAAGATTTTTCCTCTTTCCCCACTTGCTCTAAAACATCAAGTTTAAAACAATCGCCTTTGTCAGAAGATTGTTTCATAGAGTCAAAGACGTTGATGGTAATTGTCTCATCATTCATCCTTAACTCAAGCTTTCCATTTTCAACATCAATCATGGCCCGAGCAGTGGCCAAGAAAGGTCTACCCAGCAAAAGAGGCATCTCAGTTCCCCCTTCCATGTCCAACACTACAAAATTTGCCGAAAAGATGAACTTGTCCACTTTCACAAGAA